TAACATCTGCAGACTACTACAATAAACTAATTTTATAAATTGAAAATAGTTCTCAACACTGAAAACTTAATAATTCTAGTCTTAAACATTGAAATAATAATAACAAGAACATGTAAAAAAAATAAAAAAAATAAAAAAAATAAAAAAAAACCTTAAAAAACTTAAAAAAAACGTAAAAGAAGCTAATAGTTTTATTCTAGAAAAAAAAAAACTAATTTTAAAAAACATTAAAAAAGAAAATAATAAAAAAAATTAAGAAAGTATTACAAACGTTATCTACAAAGTTCGTAAAAAATTACACACGTTAAAAAAGATGTAACTAAAATTGAAAATATTATTAATAAAACGTTAAAAAAAAAAAATCAAGTTAAAAAAATCGTGGAAATTATAAAAATAAATTTTATCACATCCGTAAATAAAAATTTTAGAAAATCAAAGTTTTAAAAAAAAATTAAAAAAGTTATACAAAAATTCTTAAAAAAACACCTAGAAAAAATGAAAGTTGAAGAGGTTAAAAGAGGCAAGTCAAGTGTTGCATCACGCAGCACACGCGCAGAGGTTTTGTAGTCTGAAGTCTTCCAAAAAACAAACTGTTGCGAGAGAGAAAGTGTTGCGTGTGTGCTGCGCCGCGCAGCAATAAGTGATTTGAAGAGGTTTTTATAGAAAAACAAACAACACCTTACTATACATAACATAAAATTAGAAGAATTTAGAAAGAGAGTTCTTTTTCTTAATCTCATGAACAAGATCTAAGAATCCATTTAGTTGATAAGAAGGGAGGGGGGGGGGGGGGGGGGAGGCCTAATGATCAACTGGTGATGGGTAAGGAGGTTGCTTTTTCCTTGAACAGTTCTTTCAAAAAACGAATCTATCTGATTGATTACCACTCTGAGTAAGGGAATTTATTTTTTAGTGCGTGTTAAAAACAACTTAACCACCAGCTTTAAGATATGTTTCACTTAATTCAAACCAGATATCAGAAGCAATTTCATTACAAGCATGATTGGCGTACAAAGACTCAAAAATAAAACCAAGACTCCAAGAACATACCACAACATTAACACGATCCCGTTTTCTAATTTTAGTTTTATCTTGAGATGGGTTAGGAAAAGTTTTATCAATAAACCCTAACTTATTTATTCTTTTTAAGGCCCTAGTCATTAAACTTGCCAAATTCTAGAATTTCAATATCATTCAATTTAAAACTAATAATGGACACCACACCATTATCAAACGGATGTAAAAACAATTATCAAACGGATGTAAAAACAATGGATCATCAAAATCATAATGATATGGACTCTTGAAACCAGAAGCAGAAGCTAGAGTTTCTCCAACAATGATTGATACACCTTATAGAACAATTAAACTGTGTTCTCTTGGCAAACCCAACGATTGTACTAAACCGAATTTAACCACCTTTCTTGGGGAGGACAAGTTTGTACGACCACAAGACCACAGTCCTTTGTTATCAAGAAGTTGTAAGAGTCACAAAAACAAATGTAAAATTAAAACAAACAAATATACACTCAAGCAACATAAAAGCACCCAATATTTAAATTAAAAAAAAAAAAAAAAAAAAAAAGGCGTGTGAAAACCTTACAGTGATCCACTAAAATAATGTTCAACAAGCAGCAAAGTAGTTTACCGTTAGATCTATACGTAACAGACTCTAGCAGCAAAATAGTTTACCGTAAGATCTGTACGTAGCAGACTCTAACACTGAAGGCATTCAGATGCCAGAAACCACCAAATCACTCAGATTGCACTGTTTGCAACATTGACGTTAACCGTTGCTTAACACTTGTCGTTAAAGAGTAAGACAATTAGATCTAACGGCAATAGTCAAGCGAAAGTTTACTCTCTAGATCGACAGTGTCTAAGATAGTTTATCAACATAGAACAAAACAGATCGAATGGAGATCTGAACAAAAAACAAAGATCAAACAGATCGATAAATGATCGGAACAAGTAAACCTATCAAACACAAAAGACAACCAAAAACCCTAACTTGAGAAACATATAATCAAACAAAAACGAAGCAATAACAAATCTACTCTGATACCATGTTAAAATTGTAGAGAACAACTCAAAATGACATCGACAGATCTTTTATTATGAATATAAGATCCAGTTGGTTTTCACTTTTCAGATACTTACAACCGAAATCTCATCTAAAAGAATCAATCTTACTCAAACAATAATGGAAAATAAAGAATAAGTACAAACTACAAACCAGATTTTAGTAAACCAAAAAAAAAAACTCTATTATGAAGAGAAACCCTAAAGACTAAGAAGATTAGAGAACCAAAGAAGCTTGAGAAAAAAACGAGAGTTTTACAATCTAAATAATAAGACCTTCAAGATTGAATCACTCTATATACACCGGGTCAGAAACATGGATAAGTCTGACTTTACCCGAACCAAATCCATCGAGTTAGATCCGCATGTTTTCAACATTTAAATAAAAATGAGCCACGATCCCTGCAAAATAACAATAATGCAAAACAAGCCCAAACAAACATAAAAACTCACACTTCATTCAGAACTCACCTTTTTTCATGTTTACAGATCATACCCAAATTCCAGTCTTAATCTCAATGTTAATCTTGAAATAACTTAATTATATTTTTGGAGAGGAATTTTATACGGGTTTCTGATATCAAATTCAAAATCGATTTGAGTGAGGGATTTGATATGGATTTATGGATTCTATCAATTTCCTGATGTGGCGGCAAGATTGTCTTCTCCGGCGAGACTGTAAAGAAAAGCGGGGGACCATCAATGCTATCGCTAAACTGATTCTCGTGGTGGTTGTCGGTACTGGTGATTCTAGGTTAGTTTTTGGGAGCCGATTCTAATGTTTTTAATCTGCCGATTCTAATGCCTAATTCCAATGTCGCCTGATTTGTTGTCCTCGATGGCAGCTTGATCACGATCGGATTATCATCTTCCTCAGCAGCTCCGTCCATAAAAAGGAGGAACAATGTTCGCTTCTACATTCATTTAGTTAAGACAGGAAAAGTTTTATTGAAAGCTTGCATAGAGTAGTACACTATAAAAAGACAAGTTTTGGTTACTATACCCTCAAATTAACATGTGTGAGAGTGACGAATTCTAAATCCCACAAAAAATCACTAAATTTAATTCGTAAAAGGAAGTGGAAATTTGGGTTTTTGATAGTCTATAAATTATATACTTCACAGAAAAAATAGCACAGCAACGACAATCGATTTTTGGATGGAACAAGGCGATTGTATAACAATATTCAGCTAATCAAATAAAAGTTTATGCCAGAATCAAAACAAAGGCAGTAGATTAAATTCATATTGTCCTTTTTAAGGATTGAAGCAATCGATTTACATAAAGCTACTAGATCTAAAAAATGGAAATTTTGTAGATAGAACCACTAGCAAAACGAAAGGAGAATAGAACAGTGAGGGTACGAAGAACCATTTATGGATCTCAGCCTCCAAATCCGTAAAGAGTCCTTCCTTGCCTCTTCAAAGCGTAGACAACATCCATTGCAGTTACAGTCTTCCTTCGAGCATGCTCAGTGTATGTAACCGCATCACGAATCACATTTTCCAAAAAGATTTTCAGTACGCCTCTGGTTTCTTCATAGATCAGACCACTGATTCTCTTTACACCTCCCCTCCTCGCTAACCTCCTGATAGCTGGCTTTGTGATTCCCTGAATGTTATCACGGAGAACTTTCCGATGACGCTTTGCTCCTCCCTTGCCAAGGCCCTTTCCACCCTTTCCACGTCCTGACATTGTTGGAATAATCACTAGGCAAACTGAAAAAGCTTCGGATTTCTGTAGAGAGATGAATATGATTTGAATGTCGGAAAACGAGATTGGTGTGATTTATAAACGGAGGGAGAAATTTGGGGATTTTGAGTTTGAAGCGGAAGCGGGATGGTTTTGTTGGATAAGATCGACGGTGGAGATACCGATCCGCGTGCTTCACCTGTTTTGTTTTGTTACCGTTGATGAAGTTATAATCAATGGTTATAAATCGTTTAGCTAGAATAAGGGATTGATGACGTGGGATGCTAGTTGCTGTTCAGCCTGTTTGTGACGATCATAATGTATAGTATATTGTTTTGATTGATATATTATGCTTTAAAAACAAAATCAATTCTAAGTTATTCATGTAAATCAATCTAATGTTTTTATACCGACCAATATTTTACACATCACATACAAAGTTCATCGATTATAATATTTATTTCTAATAATCTAAAAAAAATAAAATCTAAATCGATTTAAGACTTTTTACTAATATGACCTACGAGTTATATAGAAATGCTAGTGTGGCATCCAAGTTTTATGAAAAATATGGCATTGACGTCCAAGTTTTACTCATGCATACTTCAATAAGAAAGTTTAATGAAATGGCATGGCTAATTATAGTATAGAAATGCTAGTGATTTTATCCCCACACCAATCGATCCATCTAGTTTCTTCCTTCCACCGCTTCTTATCCAAACCTTCGGTTCTCTTTCTTCCTTCCTTCTTACACCGATTTCATCCCCCTGATTTCGTCTCCTTCCTACTTCCGGTTACAGTACCTGACTAGGGTACTGTTAATCGGTTAGTTAGTCCACCAAGGTCACCGCCTCCTTCAATTACCCTTCTGTTCTCACTTTGCGTTCTGACCTCCACCGCCTCCTCTCACTTCCGATGTCGTGCTTTGGAAATCCGGTGGGTAATCTTATCGGTCTCCTCTATCCTTCATTCACACCCATCTCCACCGCCTCATAGTAGTTGGCTGGCCGAGGAAGTAGTGAAGCGGAGGAGATGGCCCTGTCTGTAACACCGGTGGCCATGTTGCCACCTCTCCCCTCTTCTACAATACCTTATTGGCCCATTCGATTCAGAAAGAACGAATGAGACGTTTTATTTAACTGTGTTTTTAGGTGACCGCCTCAAACTGAGTAATTTTGTTCTTCAAGATTGTCTATATTTTGAACAACCGGACAAGAACACCCAAGATGAGAAACTGGACATTATCAACCAATGAGGTACCCTCGCTGCTCTCTTTGTCGCTTCCTGTTCCTGCTACTTCCCCTAATTGTACCCTATAGGTATGATTTGATTGTTTCTAATGTTATCTATGTTCCAAACTCGATTTTCCTCGATGTTACGTCTTCCACAGATCCTCCAAATTCTTTCGACGACAACAACTCAGTCTGTGGAACTCCTTAGGCATATGAGTTCGAGTCAGGTGGGGAAGCAACGCATCAGGTATGTGGGAAGATCCTCCAACCATTTCAATTTTTCTACATACGATACACTTAAATTGGAAGTCAATTTTTTAAAGTGTGGTTTAGGTTAAATCGGTTGTGCCCCCAAAGATTTCATGAAGACTAAGATTGATGAAATGAATCTTCTGATTACTTCAATTCGAACCCAATTTCTTAAAATCTCAAAGTAATTTCTAACTTTTATTGAATGCACATCCTTTATCTAATCTTTACTCAATTTTTTTAGGTTTTCTACAACAAGTTGTCTTACTGTCGATGGATTGAAATGGTTATCGAGGCTTTCTCATGAAGTTGAATATGATGATTCTTTTCCTATATAAAGAAAGGTAAAATACCCTTCCTAACCCCAACCTTGCATAGTAACTAAACTAACTTGAATCTTTGATGAAAAAAGGTTACAAATTGAACAAATGATAAAAGGTGAAACATGGAAAACGATAATACAAATTGTTATATAGATTCAATATTCTGATGATTTCAAAAAGAGTACTTCCACTTCAAAAGGGGGTATCGGAATCAGTTATAACATTACAAGATGAAGTTTTCAAATGCTCATTCAACTTTGCTTTCTATCCATCATGTGCTCCGGAATGGAAATTCTAAAAATGAAAATTATGGCCTTTTGACGATTTTGTCAAAATAATATCTTTAAGATAATTTTAACAATTATGCCCTTTTCACAAATTTGACAGATTATTATAAAATCATTATGTTGATGTGTTACTGAATGTAAATTATCGATTTAAATCTTGCTATGTGTTATGGAAATGGCAGACTCAATAACCATGAGGAAAAGGCTGATATGGTTAATGGAGTTAAAAGAATGGTAACTCTTTCTTTAATGGCTTTCTTTTCCATGATATATGTATATATGTACAATTTTAGTTCTTATCAAGTAACATGCGTAAATGACACATTCATCTTTCACTTCCAAATTATATGACACCAAAGTAGACTCTTACTGGGGACAAAATGTTTGTGCTTTGGTTGAAGAATGCTTTTCAACTTCAAGTTTTATGTTTTTTCTTCTAATTTTATTTGGATACAAATAGATGTAAAATGTCTTTGGATCCTAATTCTTTTGGGTTTATCATTACTCCTTCGTTTCAGATGATCAGGTTTGATTCGTTTGAAATGATCAAAGCACACTTCCAATATATTATATTTTTTGTTAGTGAATTTTCTTGGCTTATTATTTGTTGTTTTTCTTATAGGTAGAAATGGAGCTTATTTCCTCTTTTGTACATCTTTCAACTTCAAAGATGTTAACATCAATATATCTAGCAGAAAGATTCAAATGAATACCGCGTATGTAATCCAAAACATTGTTGTTATTTGGAAAAGTTTTGCCTTTGTTTTACTAAATATGTTCTATTTTTGTCTCACCAAGTTTCTATTCGGTTACATTATTCGGAATCAACTCAGCACTACTCATCATGGATATGGTTTGTCTCACCTTCAAGAAACTATACAAATGAAGGAAGGGATAATAGAGACAATAATATTAGAAAACAAGGTATTTACTCAGTATTTCTATTTCACACAATATTGTTTTCAAAATGTATGTGTTTTTATTTCCTTGATTTATATTTTATCAGGCCTTGCATTCTGAAGTCGGGATGTTAGTAGTTACTGTTAAGAAAATTCAAGATATTATGACACGAATGGAGGAAGATGTAAGAGAAAATGTTGATTATAATCACTTAATATTCAGTTTTATAAAATTATAAATTCATCAACAATTTATAAAATTTGTCCATTTCATTGCAGGATAGAGCCGCTTTGCGTGTAATGGTGGCAAACCAAGAAAAAAATGTTACAAATTCTCATCACAATGATTCTAGGGCAACTGTATCAGAGGCAAGTAGAATACTCCATATCTTATTATAGATTTTTATAACCATTTTATCCATTTAGCTATTGAAATGTTGTTTTTAAGGAATAAATGCAGGAAATAGCAATATGCTTTCATTTATTTGTGTATTACAGTTTACAGCATCCTACTTTCAATTATTTTCTTATTAATCATTGTATTTTAATAAGATTCGAAAAATACAGTATTGTAGTTTTAATTTGTGAAAAGATGTATCCAATTATAGAAGTTAAAAGTGTTTCACATTTTGGATTACGTTACTATGATTGGGTATATTCTCAAAGTATAATGTTGTAATTGGGAGAATGAAAGTGATTATTATGTATGATTCCCACAAATCTTAAAACTCTAATTTTAATATGTTATTACAACAGGTAGATTCAGAATGCTCAACCACACAATGAGAAATTTGTACATAATGGAGAACCAACATACATTGTATCGGTTGAATGTGATGAATGATTTGTTACATCCACCGGCATCTCCAACTTCCGTTGAATCCAGGTTCCGATCGAATCCTCTCTACTTCTCCAATTAATTACTTTTAATTTTTCATTATTTAATCTTTTTTTTTTCATTTGCAGATGTATTACCTCCTATTTATGACTCCATGCTACATAACTTCCACGACTATGCAACCAATGATCCAAAATTTCACGTTCTTATTCCAGAATTTGTGCATGTTTCCTTAATTTATATATTATTTTCTATGACTAGATGGGCATTTTCGTCGTTTGCACAAACAAGAAATCAAAAGCAAATCACTCTCTTACCTTTTTTAAGTGGGGATGAGATATTTCATATTTCCAGCTGTGTTTTTTATTCATCCATATGAAAAAAGATGTTTTTGACTTTTATACCCCTCATTTTAATTGAAGAGACAGACAAAAATGAGTTGGTACTTTTTTTTTCAAGAATGTGCTTCCAAGGTTATGAATTTTTGAAGCTCATGGTGTGTAAGCCTTTCTAGAATGTTTTTGGTTCTTTGTAATTCTCTTTTGTTCGATGTATTTTTTATTTTATTTATTACCAAGATTAATTGGGTATTTTTCTTAATACGGGAAGATATTCTTAATATGGAAAATTCTTTTAATTTTCTTATAAGTGATTGTGGTTTTAGTTGATGTAAAGTTTTGATATGCTACTTTTATATGCAAGCAAATATGTTTTTTGACATTGCTAAAAAGTAGGTTGTTATCTATAGCCTAATGTGTATCCTTGAGAAAATGAAACATTTCTTAATGTGATTACTTTACTCTTTCTAACAATATGGGCAACATACTTTATTTTCCCTCAAATATGAGGTTCAACTTGCTGACAAATTACATTGCCCGACTTTCCCCGACCCGTAGCGAAGCGAGGGCACACCTCTAGTTGTTAGATTAAATTTTACTATTGTGGACGACATGTTAACATTTAATGAATATTATGTTTAATGACTTTGATGGATCCAAACTTGAAACAATATTCTTTGCAACTAAAAGAATCTTCTTGATCTTCAAGCTTCATCAAAATATGACCAAGAGAGGAGATATGAAAGGGGATGAGCTCAAATATTGAAGAGGTAGATGAGGGTTGCTCCTATGGGGTTCTAAATGTGATGGATGCCAAGAAAAATACACCAAAATATGAGAGATGAGAGGGGAGGAGCTCAAATCGAAAAGTATGTTTGCATACAGATTGTTAATTAGGTACGTACCAGTGACCACAATTTCGTCGCGGATAGCATCCTTTTATCCTATGGAAAATTCCCTTTGGCATTTCCTTCTCGCCCCTTCAACTTCAGTTAGCCTCTCTTATAATGCCCTACCTCCCCCACATTCATAACAATCTCTGCTTTCTGCTGCTGTTGCGGCTCCTTGGTTTCTCACGGGTGTTGGTTAAGCACCTTTGAGTAAGGTGGCCCTTCCTGTCATATTTGTTACATATCCAACAAGCATCGTTGTGATGATACCCGCATTGATTACAATTTGGACCACATCCTGCATACTGCTACGGGGTGGTAGTCTCAGTTGATGTTGTTGTAGTCATATATACTTGAACCACTTCAGGTTTTTTTTTTCGATGGCTGCCTAGTCTTTCCCTGGAAATCTCTTCCAGACTTCTTTTGTTAAACCTTTCCTTTAGAAGATCAACCTTTATGGACCATGGCATCACAACGTATTTCTCGGTTCGCCAGGCTGAAAGCTAACCTTTTAGCACTATCATATGTAGTCGGATTAGATGCAGTAACCTTTTGGCACTATCATATTCACCCAACACTCAGAGCCTGAAAGATACTCACCTCATTTTGAGGCCCTAAAAGAACTTAATCAACGTCCCACACAACACCAAACAAGCACAAAAAAGTTGTAACCCTACCACACACGATTCATGTTTTACAAAACAAATATGCTATCCAAGCGAAACCTTACAAAATCATCGTCGCACACGACCCGAAGATAGGATAATGATCGAACCCTTTATCCAATTCGGAGGCTATAACCCAACCAAACTGTAACACCGTAAATTTTCAAACAAAATTTTCGTTTTAAAACGCAATGAAACACATGTCACATTCCTTCCAAATACCACAAGTATTAATTTATCAACACATTTAAAAAGCTGTTCATCGCAAATCCTGGATCTCAAACATAACTTTGTTCTCTTGTGTGTACAATCAAATCGGTGCCTTCCTGCGATCCTGATAAGAACCTGAAACACATAGCACATAACATGGTAAGCACGAAGCTCAGTGGGTTCCCAAAATACCACATATAACACATTAGCCTCTCGAAGCTATAACTCTGTAAGACCCTCTAGTCTATGTGTCTCAGTGGGACCCTCCAGTCTCACAGCTAGTTGGACCCTCTACCCCGGTCTCAATAAGGACCCTCTGGTCCGGTCTCAGTAACGCATAACATAACATATATCACACTGACAAAATACATAACTCAAGTAAGCACATAATACCCTCTGGTCACACATAAACACCACTCTAAGTAAAGTATAGTGAGAAGACTCACCTCGAAAGCAAATGAGCAAATGACCTCGTACTCGAATCTCGAACTAGCCTCCGCCTAACACAAATGATGGGTATCTCTAATTAATACTCTTTTCAAGAATAAAAAAAAACGAAGGCTACTCTTTCTCTCTCTAAATCTTGCAGTGGATAAAAGACCATTTTACCCCTCTATGGTCTCCATTACTCATGTTTGACCAAACCCTCAAGTCAACAGAAGTCAAACTCTAGTCAATAGTCCATGTGTGACCCGACTCGTCGAGTGCACCCATGTGACTCGTCGAGTCCACTCTTTTTCTCAGAAGTCTCATGAAGGTCCAGCTCAGTTCGTCAAGTTGAACCCCAACCTGCCGAGTTATCGCATGATCAAGCTCATCGGGACAAACCCTCACCGACTTGTCGAGTCAGCTCATTGACTCGGCGAGTACATTCAAACTCAATCCTCATTAAGACGATTCTAAGAAGATCTACTGTCACACCCCCAAACCAGAACGGCGGAAACGTTCGGGGGCGGAGGACATCATATTCAGTATCATAACAGTTCATAGAAAGGAAAGTACACACCACCATACATATATAAAGGTTTTAAAAATGTTTACATAATTGTATTCATTACATGTTCAAAAGATAAATACATAAACATCTTTCAAAAAGAAGTAATTAACGCCAGCGCATCAATCCCAAAAGTTGATTTCCAAACTTGCTTAGCGGTTCCCTGAGAATACAAGTTATTTCAAGGAGAAAGTGTCAACAATTAAGTTGGTGAGTTCATGAGTAGTGTTTTGAGAAAATGTACGCCATTCGAAAGTTCGTGTATGTTTTCCAGAAAACGCAGTATTTCAAATGTAAAGAGTTATGGTTTCTTGTGTTGTAAATGAATGTATTAGATCCAGAAAATCCCATATTTTCCCTAATGGTTGAGATATGAATTGTTGTGTTTTCCAAAAAAATCCCTTATTTTCTTATAAAAGTATGAAATGCATATGAATGTTCGTGTTATAAGTTGTAAATAATTGCACCAGGAAAATCCCTTATTTTCATATTAGTTGTTTGGTTTGTATACAGGAAAAACCCTTATTTTCCTAACATAACTGGCAGTCTCTAAGACCGAAAATCGCAAGCAACTGACGTTCTTAAAAGTTGTGTCATAGTTTTATATAATAAAGCTATACGAAGATCGCATTTGTTAGATGAAGAATAGTTTTAATAGCTACTCGTTCATAAAAGCATAATACCATAATAATTGTATATCCGGTGAGTTTTATAACCATACTAAACATAATATGCCTGTAACGACGTTCTTCAGGCATCGCAGCGTTATGACAACTGTCACCCCAAAGGACGGACTGTAGCTAACAGTCAGGGCGCGGGATCATGACTTCCCGTATAGATCTATACACATTTGACACGTTCTCCTAACGGGAGACTCTGGTTATAGACAGGACTTGCAGCATTACTTTCTAATAAGAAAGTAGTGTTTGAAGATATACACGTCTCATGGATTCTCAACTAAGTCTGTATTAAAGTGATAGTTTTGTATGCAAAGTTTATCCTTTTTCACAATGTTTGACAAAGCATAAATCATAATTTTTAGAATGTATAAAACGACTTAGCAACGAAAGGTACTTTGAAATCACTATATACTTTGTATAAGTCTAATGCACGCAAAGTATGACAAGAGTTTTCCATAGTAGTAAGGAATTACAAGTGATTTATTCAATAAAAACAAGTGAAGTGAAACTTTATAAAATACACGATAATAACCGTATGTTTACTTGTATTCCCCCCCCCCCCCCCTATAGAGTATAAAAGCATTTAAAATGTATTTAAAGTGTGTTTGAAAGGGGTATGAACTCACTTGATCGATTGAAGAAAGCGTGACGAAAACCGAGCAGAACTTCTACTCGAGAAAGCGGATATCTCGAGATTCTCGGGAAATCTCGGGAGTCTCGGGAGTGTAAAACTTTCTTCCCACCTTGGATATGAAAACCGGGCCTTTGGGATGATTCCGAGGGTTGAAACACAGAGCTTCGGCGCGAGAAAGGAAGGAAATTAGCAATTTTGGCCGGCACCCTCGCATCTCTATTTATAGGGGTCTGAGAGGTTGCGTTACGCGGGGCGTACTAGAGTACGTGTTGCGTACTCATGCGTCATGCATGAGCGCATCCTCGGTCGAAACATTGGAGCAACATGGACGAACCGGAGCCTAGCATCCAAGTACGTTGGGCGTACGAGGGATCGGACCGCTGACTCGTTCTTCGGATAGTACCGGGTTTTAATTAAATTTATATTTTAATTAATTAGCAAACTTCAAAAATTCATATCTTTCTCATACGAACTCCGTTTTCGACGTTCTTTATATCCACACGAAGGTGAGACTACGATCTACAACTTTCATTTAGA